GGGGGCCTTCCAGGCCCAGGAGAAGGAGCTGGTGTTCGACATCGACATGACCGACTACGACGACGTCCGCGGGTGCTGCAGGTACTCGCCGGGGCCTGGAGGCCGTGGGGGTGGGTCAGCACTGGTGTGTCCAGAGCCAGTGCCATCCCCACGTCCTCCCTCCCTGCAGCTCGGCCGAGATCTGCTCCAAGTGCTGGACCCTCATGACCATCGCCATCCGCGTCCTCGACCGAGCACTCGTGGGCAAGTACCCATCCGTCGGGGTCCGGGGGGTGTAGCGCCATGGATCCTGGTTGTATCAGGGCAGTTGTGGCGGCTGCAGGCACCCTGCTGGTCCCAGTTGCCTGGTTGGGCTCAGCACCGCTGTCCTGGGCCCAGCCTTGCTTACTGCAGGACTGGGGGGCTGCGGGTCTGGAGTTAGGGGCACCAGAAGGGCTGTCCAGGAGGGGGGCAAGGGCTGCGGGTTGGGAGTGAGGGGCGATGGTCAGACTGCAGGGTGCTCCTCCCCCCCAGCGGGCCCTGCCTGACCCCGCACCTTGTGCCCCACAGAGGACCTGGGGGTGCAGCACCGCCTCTGGGTGTACTCGGGCCGGCGCGGCGTGCACTGCTGGGTGTGCGACGACACTGTGCGCAAGTGGTCGTCCTCGCTGCGCTCCTCCATCGTCGACTACCTCAGTCTGGTCAAGGTGCGGCAGGGGGTCTCCTGGGGGCTGCATCTGACCCCAGGCCCCCATTGCAGCTGCTCCAGGCAGGCCAGGTGCTGGGAGCTGCCGCCTGGCACCTGGGCCTGGGGCAGATTCGCTCCATCCTGACCATCTCCTCTTGCTCCCCCCCAGGGTGGGGCTGACACTGTCAAGAAGGTGAATCTCTCTGACCCTGTGCACCCCTTCATCAGGTTAGTGCCCCCCCATGAAGCCCCTTGACAGGCCCCAGTCGTGGGCCCGATTCACCCCAGTGCCAGGGCTGCTCTGCCCTGTGCTGGCAGCTCCCTCCTGCCTGACCTGGGTGCCGCTCCACCCCCGGGGACCAGGCGTAGTAGACAAGTTCATTGGGAACAAGGCAGCAGGGATCCAAAGAGACCCGTTCTTCTCTGGAGGGCGGTAGCTCCCTTATGGCCTCCCCTCAACCAGGGTGGGGGTGCCCCCAAGGGACCCCTATTGGTACCCCCCACAGCTGGAAATGTCCCCGCAGTCCCAAAGTAGGCACAGACTCGGCCAGGGGAGGGTCCCAGCGTCCTGGGAGGAGAGGGCGGCAGGCATGGCCTCCAGGGAGCCAACCCCACCATCCCGTCTGCTTCCCCCCAGCAAGTCGCTGCGCCTGGTGGAGGAGCGCTTTGAGGAGTATGCACTGCTGGGGCAGGACATCCTGGGCAGCCGTGAGAGCTGGGACAAGGTGCTGGCCCTCATCCCGGAGCATATCCTTCTGCCCGGCTCCAGCTGCCTTTCACTTTGCCTGGGGAAGGGGCTGGCAGCGGTGGGGGCTTGCATGTTTAGGGCCAGAGAAGCATGCAGGGGAGAGCTTGTGCATGTGCTTGTGTGCGCATGCTCACGTGTCCACACATGCAAGATGAGCCCCGCATTACAGGCTCCACATCTGTGTCCATCTAGTGCTTCGGTGCAGACCTCCGTGCTTTCACGCATGGTTGAGGGGGGCAGGGGTGGGGGGTCCATGCAATGTTGTCAGTCCTTAGCTGGCGCCCACCCCTGCGCGAACAGCTGCAGCAGGATTTTCCCCGGAAGCGCGACTCGGTGCAGCGCTGGGCCCGGCTAAAAGCCCTCGTCGAGAAGTCCAGGGTGAGAAGCTGGGGGGGGACGGGGTACTTGGAGGGGGCACTGGGAGGCTGTTGAGGGGGGCAGGCCACTGCTGGGTGCAGGGGGGAATTCAACTGTCCTTGTTTCCCTGCCCCCACAGCAGTCCTCAAGCAGCTCGAAGAAGCTGCCGTCCTACGCAGAGCAGGAAATCATGCTGCAGTTCTGTTTCCCACGCCTGGACGGCAACGTCAGCAAGGGCCTCAACCACCTGCTCAAGAGCCCCTTCAGTGTCCACCCCAAGACAGGTACAGCCGGGGGGAAGGGGCCCCCAGGGCAGGGAGTGGACCCTGGCAAGCCTGGACATGACGTGGACTTTGCCCCCGGCAGGTCGCATTTCAGTCCCTATCGATGTTCAGCGGCTGGACCAGTTCGACCCCTTCGCCGTCCCCACCATCAGGTAGCTGGGGGTCACTAGCCCCTCTAGGCTGCTCTGCCCAACCCCGAGCAGGCCACCCCAGCAGCAGAGTGGCCTCAGGGGCTTCTGGTCAGTCCCCTCCTACTGTCTGGAGTACTTTGTACCAGGTCGGGGGTAGGGAGTCTTACTCTTCTTCTTCTCCTCTAGCTCTCTCTGCCGTGAGCTGGATGAGGCCAACGACGCTGACGAGGACAGGGACAAGGAGAATGAGGAGGATCCTGAGCCCAGGCGCCGCGTCCGGGGTGAGCAAGTTGTGAGCCCCTGAGGTGCATCCCCGTGCCTCAGTTTCCTCTCCCAGCCAGTCCCATTGGCTCTGACCGAGCTCCCCAGGACAGGTTGTGTCCCTTAGCCCGGCTGCACCGTCCCCAGAGCCCGGGGTCAGCACTGTGACACTTGGCACTGGCGCCGTGGAGATTTCTGCCCCGGCCATGAGGGTCAGAGCCTGGCTGGGCTGTGCCAGAAGTCAGCCCAGAAAGGCAGCCTGGGATGGGCACATTGGCTACCTCCTGGTGGCATGGCCATGGGGCAGGTGCATGGTGGGGCATCTTCACACAGCACCCCACACATCTCATCCCTCAGACTACAAGAGGACCAGCCTGGCGCCCTACGTACGGGTCTTCGAGCGCTTTGTGGAGGACATGGAGAGGGCTCGCAGGGGCGAGCTGCTTCGGAGGAGCGGTGAGAGACAGAACCAGGCTGGGTGGGGGTGCCTCTACCTCTCCCTTCCCCAGGACCCAGCAGGGGGCAAGAGATCCCACAGGGCAGGGGGCTTTGGCAGCTACGCGGGGTCTGAGCAGTGGAGGAGGCGTGGGGGGGGGCTCAGCCTGTCGCTGCTGCTGCTGCAACCCCCTTCTCTTCCCTGCAGACCTGCAAGGAGACTTCTGATGTTCCCTGCCCAGACCTCCTCCATCTTCTGTGCCTTCCTCAGAGACTCGGGCATGGTCATCATCACTGCCCAACGCCTGCTCAGGCCTTAGCCACTTTTTGGATGGCTCCTCTGGTCTCCCAGCTCTACACTTCTTCCCCGCTGGAGCCTGTGCCGTGGTCTCCGCTCTCTCCCACCCCCTCAGAGCGTGAGGCAGGCAGGCTTCCTCCTTTTGTACTTTTTGTATGCAAAAGCTATTAAAAGGGTCAGTGAAAGCTGCTGCGAGTGTGCATCCGGTGGGCCGAGATCAACAGGATGCGTCTGGGACGGAGGGGACGCCATCCCCTGCGTCCTGGGAAGGAGGATGTGTGCGAGTGGAGCTCAGCGCCGTGGGGAGAGTGGGGGGGTAAGCTGCTCTCACCCCAGGCTGTTTTGGCCGCAGGCTCTATTTCCCTGCAGGGGTTTTCTCAGCAGGTGGCAGTGGGACGTCTTGGTGAGGACAAGTGTGGGGGGAGGGGGGACGTACTGCCTGGCACCCGTGTTGGGGTGCAAGGTGCGGGCATAGCTCTGGCTTTCCTTTGGGGCAATTCCCCCCTGCAGGTTTCTCTAAGGTGGCACCCCACGGCGTTCGCACCTCTGTTATCCGCACGGGGGACTCAGGCCTGAATGCGAAGGGGGCAGACAAGGCCCCAGGCTGGGGAAGAGCGACCTACACCCCGGGTCCTCGAGAGGAGGGGGAGACAACCCCCGGCTGCAGCCCTTGGTTCTGGCCCCCGCTTCCAGCAAGAGGCAGGGGGTAGCTCTGACCCATCCCGACCCTTGCTCTCAGTAATGGACCAGGGGCAGGTCTGCCTCTGCAGAGGGTAGCTCGGGGTCGCCCTGGCCCTGGGGAGCAGCCCCTGGCCGGAGCCCAGCGGGGGGGTACGGA